AATGATGGATTTTTTTGTTTAATTTTGTTAATTCTCAGTGAGTTTTGTGGAAAACCATTCCTATTAAAAGAAAAATGAGTGAAATAACAAACGTTTCGGTACCAATCTTGTGGCGAAAGATGATTTGTAAGAGGCGATGATTAGTTATTGACGACGCTCGAGAAAATACAATGCCAAAAACTGAACTATTTAAACATTTAGTAGGAAAATCAATGCACCCTAAAGTTTAGTGAATAAAGTGACATTGTTTTATCTATCAATAGCAGCACAAAACCGATTTTTTCCATGTCATCACACCATTTGGATTTTAATGATCTAATGAGATAATTGAAGTCAAAATCAAAATTAGTACTATAATTGGGGAAATTAAAAGTTCAGTAATATAAACATCACTTCAATTATATCTGATATAATTTATTCTTTATTTTATAATAATATTTTTCAAAAGGGTAATCTACATCAGATAATATCAAACTTTTGACATTGTATCGTTTATATCACTGAACTTTCAGTTTTGCCAATTATAGTACTAAACTTCGATTTTTTTTCAATTATACTACTAGGCCGTTAAATCGTTAATAGTCGGATCAAAACGACATCGTTTTGGTGATGTGTCTACATCGAAAACCATCAGCCATATCATCGTGGCGTCAATGATTTAACGGTTCAATGGTATAATTGAAACGAAAATCAAAGTTCAGTGTTACAATTGACAAAGTTAAAAGTTCAGTGGTATAAATGATACAATACTCAAAATTCGGTGGAATCGAATGTAGTTTGCCCTTTTCAAAATATGTATATACAATGCAAATGTATCTTATTTATGCATCATTAGTACCCATGAAAGCTTCTCCCCAAAAAAAAGTATTTAGGAGGAAGGGAAAGAACAAAAATTAAAGCAAAAGTGGTTTAGCATTTGGGTTACCCTTATCTTTTTATTTTGTTGTTAATAATAATAAAAACGAATGATGAAGGCGACCCATCATGGAATCAAAAAGAACATCTTGCTTAAAAAATGATGTTGACAGTCCAATATACGTATTTATAGGGATATCTAAGGAAATACAACCTAATATAAGGTTAAGAAAGGTTGTTATCAGAAATGTTACTATTTTTTTAATATTTACATTAGAACACTACTTAAAATATTATTTTTCTACCGAAATATTAATATCAGACGCTACTTAAAATATTATTTTTTTCTACCGGAAATATTAATATTGGAAATATTCATTTTAGATAGTAAAGTTAACATTTCCGATAGAAAAAATTAATATTTTAGATAACGCTCTACCGAAATATTAAAAAAATATTAACATTTTCAATAGTGTCTTTCCTTAGCCTTATATTAGTCCGCCATGAGAAGAACTACCCTATTTCTAGTCCATGAATTTTGTAGCATATTATTGCATTTAGCAACTTCCAATTCACCCATTTGTACATGATTTGGACTTCTCAAAAATTGCATGGTCCATCCTTGCCGGCCAATTTTCTTGTCCATTTGTACATAACAAAAATGATTGATGAGTGCTTCATCAATTTTCTTGTCCATTATAGGGTAAAAAAATTGTCCATACAGGGTGCAGTAAAACCAACAATCGATTGGTCCAGTGAGATGAGACACTAGATCCCTTAAGCAAGGTCAAGAGTTTGAATTCTGACAACTGTAAATGGAGTAAACTGGATTGGAAGGGTTTGCCCTCACCTCTACAATACCTAATCTGGATTAGTTGATCAATAAATCAGAAACCGCTTGTCTATACAAAAATAAAACACAGAGTGTAGTAAAAGTTATATTTTGAATTTGGATGTTTGTTAGAGTATTTAGTAGGAAAAAGAATCGTAGTCTATACAATTTCCAAAACTCGTAAAGAAATTAATATTCAGGTTGGAATTTAGTGATAAAATTTGGGGCAACTTAAAACTTTAAAAAAAAATAAAGGTTTAAATTAAGATTTTTAAAATTTTTAAAGGGTTTATTTTATTTTACCCAAAAAAATTAGGGTCTAACTATTTTTTTTAATTAGAGGCTTAATGAGAATTTTAAGATTATGGGAGAGGGTTTAATTAAAAACATTCAAAAAAATTAAAATTTAATCTGAATTTCTAAAGGTTTCGAGGAGGCAAATTAAATTTTTATAAAAGTTTAACAATCTAAATTATAATTTTTAAAATTTTGTGGGGCCATGGCCCCTCTAGTCTAGCTTGTGTTCCACCACTGTAAATATCTATAACCAATGGTGCACGAATCAAGCGATATCAGTAACATTGTTATTCCTTGAGGTCTCTGGTTCGAGCACTAGGAATATTAGGGGTGTGAGCGTTCAATGTCAAATGGTTGAGTGTCTTTGAACATATAATACCTTGTATTTACCTAATATTAATAAAAATAAAAAATCAATGGCTTCTTGTATGGGTTATAATTGACGAGTCCTATTTTATAACTCAAATTTTATTTGAATTTTTTTTAGTCGAGTTGACTTGTTCGAGTTTATGCTTAAATTTAATTGTAAATATTTATAATGTCATGGTATTATTTGATTTCAGTTTAAACAATTTTCTATAACTATATACAATACATATATATTTCTTCTTATTTTTCATATGTGATATACGTAAATCATACAGAGTTGAGAAACTCGACCTAAACTTGAAAACTGATCCATTAATTATTAAAAAATTTGAGTTATTCGAGTTCTACTTTATAACTCAATTCGAATTTGAAAATTTTTCGATCGAGACAAGTCAATTTTTTTAAATCAAAAAGATCAATTTTTTTAATAGAGTTGAGTTATGGTCGTCACACCTAGCTTCTTGTGCTTGCATGAAACAATCATTAACAAACTGTAAAGAAAACTATTGCTTGTATATCATTCCCAAAATAGGTAAACATTGTTCCAACACATACATTCGACTTAGAGATACTAATATTCAAAGAAAACAAAGCACCAGTGCCATAATTACAGCAACAGCTAAGAGATCATGTGTCTTCAATCTACCAGCATTGCTCCGGCCAACCCCCAACCCCATGATGTTTGGTCTCGATGCCACCGGAACAATAGGGTTCACCATGGGGGAAGCAGAAGCAGCAGCAGCAGAATAAGTATGATTTGTCGCTAGAGAAACTTGTGAACCAGATGAACCAGGAGGAGAAGACAAGCGTCCTGAGCAAACAGTGGTGCTAGCTTAGAGCTTGCAAAGAAGAGGTAATTGTCCTGTTTATAGGAAAAGCACTCAAGGTGGTTTCATTGAGAAGGAGGCAAAGACAAGCGGGTTGCAGCCCGTAGAGCTGGTCGAGATTGTTGCAGCAGGATTGTGCGGGTCTTTGAGCGTTGCCCTGCACGAATGGTGCGCAAGGCATTAGAGCCACCAAGCGAGGGCTGCAGCGGACACGGTTGGTCCTTGGCCTGGGGTCATAGGGTCATCCTGAGAAAGGCAAAGACCGGCAACCAAGAACATCTGCATAACAATGGCGTAAACAGCTTGCGAAACTGCCATGGTCAAGCACTGCAAAGTGTGGATTTTCTTGATCTGATTCTGTGCAGAAACAAGGGTTCACAGGGTAACTATTTAACATGTAAACGCATGGTTTATGTGCGAGTAATTTTACATGCATGGTGTGTGTTGTTATTCTAACATGCAGATTTTGTTCAATTTGAAAATTAAAAGTCAGTAACAGTACTCCACTCGATCCATCCGGCTTGAATTTAATTCTATTATCAGTTGTTGAAATATAAAATTCAAGTCTTACAAATCTTAAATGATATTTAAATTTGTAGTTTAAGGATTACTTTTGTGTAGATCGGATTTATCATTTTGTCTTTATGGTTTTTTCACATTAATTTAACTTTCAAAGTTGTTTAAAGGCATCGTATTAGCCCTCGAACTCCATTGACCGTTCATAAAACCGTGAGTTTTCTACATCTAGGGATTAAGGGATTAAGTTAAAACATTTACTAAATGCAACGGTTAGAAAAAATTATCAAAATTTTATTATTTATTTCAGTGAAATTAAAGGACTAAGTTAAAATTGTGACGATTTTTCTAACAGTTCTATTCAGTAAATATTTTTTTGATAAATATCACGTCAGTAATTTTGGCTGACATGGGAATTGATGGCATCCACGAACATTGAAGATTAACGGTTATGTTAATTAAAACGGACTTTGAGAGTTAGGATGATGCCCCTAAATAACTTCGAGAGTTAAATTGATGTGAAAAAATCAGGCGAAATGGTATATTGTGTCTACTACCGAGACAAAAGTAGTCCTTAAACCTAAATTTATGAATTTTTTAAAATAAAAAAAAAATCATACTTTTAAAATCGAGTTTAGATTTGTCAATTTTAATTTGAACATAATTCTAAAATAAATTATTTGGATGATATATTTTGAAAAAAACTTGATTAATGAACATAAAAAGACTTTTTTTTAATAAACAGAACCCCACTCATTCAAACTGATAGTTCATTTACTGAACGCGTTAAGTTTTTAACCGCGAGTACTAAAATGAAACAAAAACAAAACGTTGGATATTGTTTTAAAAAAATTAAAAGTTTAGGTACTAAAACGAAACAAAAACTAATAGTTTAGGTACTAAATATATAGTTTATCCTAAAAAAGGTATCATTTAACTCATATTTCACATCATTCAAGTACATCTAAACAAAATCATTATCATTTCTAATGAATTCTAAACAAAGAAGATGAAGTCCAATGGTACTAAGAATGGGTTAGCAGAGTATGTAACTTGAAAGAACATAAGAATGATGGATCCACAAGTGACACAAAATTACAATAATGTTACAAACAGGACAGACTTTAACCTATGTTACTCGGATTTTCCATGAAGTATTCGTGTCCGACACGCGAATACGAGGATACGATTTCGACACTTACACCCGAATCCGAGTAACATAGACTTTAACACCAAAAGAATGAACCAATCTAACCATCAAGTCTTTATAACACAAAAACTGAGAGAAAAGAAGAGAGCAAACCCCTTCAACAAGCTTTGGATAATCACCTAAAAGTGAAAATGGATACCAAAATTGTGATGATCAAAGTTAGAAGCGGCTTGGAGTTACCACAGTGCAATGCCATTGCAGAAGAGCTTAATGATTCTCTGCAAAACACGGGCGTCAATCGTTAGTAATAGGAATCGAAGCAGATAAATTTCGATAACGTTTCGGTTTCGGATACGTGACGTACTTTTGCAAGCTCTTCAGAGCACCACAATACAAAACATTATCAGGGGGAGCCAGCTCTGTCTTGCCATTTTCCTCAGGGTTGACAATTCTCATGTAGGTCTCTTGGCCTAGGTACCACCTATCCAAGTTCTCTACTCTAAAGTTCCATACTCCCACATTATCAAGGGAGATAAGGACTGCTGTCCATCCACCAGGGTACACCTACACAAAAACCAAAGGGCACAAGAGATAAAGTAAGCACTTTTCAAAAGTAATGCGAAACTATCCCTCGTTTTTTTCGAAAAACCGACCTCAGTCGTGCTTCGAGAGATGGCATCCCATTTATTATAACTGCTTCTGCTGCTTTCTGTCCACAGTCCAAAATCCATTCTGCATCGAACACCCGAAAGAGTTCAGCACTTGGCACATTACTACACATCATACATACTAGCATAGAATTTTCTTACCCGACAACATAAAATGCATAGCCATCCATGTGAAAGCTCTGTATTTTGGTGTCGTTATTCTGCAATATAACCTCCACGAATCCTCGGTATGTAGCATTGATTATGGATCGGTCCATCTTGGGAGTTGTATCATGAGGCTTATGGGGGAAATCCAGCTTATAAGCACCCTTTACGTGGTGCAGGTCAGCTAGCCTGATCGGTGTATCAGGGTTGACGAAAGAGATGCCATTCAGTGTAGCACGAAGCTTCCCGTTAATCCTAACCGGAGGCAAGCTCCGTATCACATATGTTTCGGTCACATTAATTGAACCATAATGAAAAGACCCTTGGGGGTTCGGCCGAGCTCCACTTGCTGTAGTATTTTGCCTAATCATTACAGAATAGAGAGTTCAGTATGTGAAAACAAAGCATGAATCTAAAGACATGCTAAGCCTAAGGAAGTGTTGAGCATAAACCTGATGGCCCTGGGCTGGTTCATTGCTGACCATTGGTTGTAAACATCACTCAAAGGAACAGGCAGCGGACCGGTGGCCGGCCCTTTCGAATTGGAATAATGCAAGACGGCCACACCGGTTACTCTTCGCCACACCGATTCATTCACGTACCGAGCACTTGCCACAATGTAGTAATCTTTAGTTGCATTCTGATCCATGGTGACTAAAAACGAATACGACTGTCCCACATGAATATCAAAGCTAGTGAAATTTTGTTGCGATACATTAACGTCCCTCGGTTTCCACCAAGAGAAGATTATGGCCCTCTATCCTAAAGTTCAAACTAGTCGATATCCCGACATTATGCACTCGAAAGCGATACGTCTTGCCTGCAATACACAGTGCCATTGCAGATTAAGAACTAAAACCCTCTTTCAGCTGATGTTACATGAAACATCATCAATAACTTGTTTGACAAGAATACCTGGATGAACATGAATGGTTTCATATTCAATAGCATCAGGGACAAGGGTCGAATTATACCGGTACGGTCCCTTCCCGTTAATGAGAACTCCATCCGGCATACCGAGTTCTTCACCGGAGTCGAGAGTCGCTCTCAATGCCTAAAACAAGAGTGTGTCGATCATTAGACTTAAACTGCAAAAACAAGGAAAAAGAAGAGTTGTTCTCCATGCACATAAAATCGAAGCCCCAACCGTTCATCGCTTACTAACCGTGTGGTTCTTCGTATACCAGTCACCGATCAAGACGACAAAGTCCCCGTCCGGTTCAGCAAAAGGAATCGATATAATTTTCCGGTTATTGATAACAATGGCACCGAAGCCACCCGATGCTCTCTGAAAATTGAGGGAGGGGAAGTAGAAAAAGCTCCCGATCTGATCCTTAACCTGAAACTGGTAAGTAAAATTCGTTTTCGGATGAATCGGACAATTCGCACCACGAACACCATCCTGCCAAGAATTTCTCCGCAATTGAATCCCTGACCTGCAAAAAAAAACATAAATCACAAGTCCTAGAACATCACATTCAACAAATAATAACATGAAACTCAAATCCTACCAAGTCATCAAAAGATTTTCGTCCAGTTGATTGTGAACATTAACAACAACATTGTAATTGGTCGTGGCATTCAAGACAGGACCAGGAAATGCTCCATTGATTGCAATAACCTTCCAATGCAAGAATCAAACATAAGCAAAAGCAAATCAAATAACAAAGATTCAACCAACAATCAGTTGATCTAGCAAGACCAAGTTCAAATTCCGTAAAGTATCTGATTCGAATTAGTCGAGTTCAGTAAAACTACCATGGTATATGACTATATGCAGATTCAAAGCAGTTACTTAAAGAGATGAATGACCTACAAAGTAAGGACCTTTGACCCTCCAAGAAAGTGAAAACTAACCTGTTGAGGGACACCGAGAGGGGACACAGTGATGTAAGAGACTTTAAAATCGTAGAAGACATAAGGGTCGTCAGCTGAACAAAGAGCAGAAAAGAGAGCAATGTGAAGCAAAAGAAGCAAAGCCATGTTACAGAAAAACAACAACAACAGGTTCTTTTGTTGTTGAAATGAGTAGGGTTTGAATGAAATGAAATGGAAGAGCTGAAAGCTGCTTGTTTATGGAGTTTCAGAACAACATTAAAGAAAGAGAAAGAGACATGAATGAATGCTCTTGATTATTAAATGTTACAAAATGGTTACTCGAGTATTCATATGTTACAAACTCATCATTTTCTATTAAAAAATAGATGACAACCTGAGTTAGAAGTTAACCTACTAGCTATAATATGATAAAATATAATCCTAAAATCTTAAATAACTATCATATCTCAGTTAACATGTTAACATTCAGCTCAAATTATTATCAGTTTACTACAAAAAGATGATGAGTTTGGAATATGCGAATAGTCGAGTGACCGTTATAACTTTTAATAGTTAAAAGACTCAAAAAGCAGCACACTATAATCAGGAGATTATTTTGTAACTTTTAATAGTTAAGGACTCGATAAAACAATTCCATGTAGTCAAGGGATCATTTGTGTAATTTACACGTAATATTAAAATCAGGAAAATTTTCAAACTTGCAACGTTCAGTTGAGAAAAGTATTCAGCCTTCACATGCACCGCAAGGCCCCACACCAGTTTTTCAGATTATTCAATTCCGTCACCAACTCTCTCTTGTTTCCCTGAATTCTTGTTTTCTTTTGATATTATTTAATATCAACTTGCAAGTATGATTCCATGATTATGGTTATGGACATGTCCAGCATTCATCAAACGCATCTCGTTGATCGGAAGGAAGATCAGAGCATATGTAATAAATTAATTTATCAACAGCTCTCTCGTTTCATCCCTGTACCTATGAAAACACCACTTATGGATGAAGGTTTTTGTTATTATCGGAATGAGTTACGACAAATGAGTGCGATAAAAAAAATGAATTTCAAGATTTATATGGAAAACTCAAAAGGAAAATGTTTATTACTTAATCATATAATATCCTAATCAGATACGATCTAAAGAATCGATGGATTGGAGTATTACACGAGACACTGAGGTGGCTAACCAAAACTTTTCTTTAAAACATTAGTAAAACATATGAAAACCATCCATCGAAATTATAAAATATAAACATAATATTCAAGTTTTTAAATATGGGGAACTCCCAAAATACATCTCAAAAGTTACGAATAAAGTATTTCAAAAAGTTATGACGAATACAAAGGGTTTACGAATAGTACATGTCATCTAAATTTGACTCAAATACGTACTCTGAAGCCTCGGGGGATTTGGAATCACTGATGATAATAATGCTCCCCAAAAGGTCCCTTGGAAAAAATGCGCACGAAAACACATTTCAAACGCTAAGTTTTGCTCCCCTTATTTTTAAGCTATCGAAATAATAGTATCAGTACTGTTTATCCCAGTACTGATACTGAAGCCCAAAAATGTTATGTTTGAGCACAACATGACATCCAAAACCACCTCATTTTCTCTATAAGTTTTATTTAAGCTAATAGGGATCGTGACAAGTCATTTTTCATGTTGAATAACATCAATTACCATAATCTACTATGAAATGCACTAACATGCTTCATGAACCCAACTATGCCCATCTTGTCCACCTAATGAGCTACAAGCGGTCTATACGAGTTAGAAATATGATATTTTGAATGCCTAAGTTGCTAGAACACTTCGCAGCTCAATCAAAGACTATATTTTTCTTTCCTTTGCTTTTAGAGCTTTCTCCAAATTCTCTCACTAAACAAAAATCAAAGAAGTTGTTAAGAGGGAGTTAAGAAAACTTCTTAAGGCTCAAATCCATAAAAAATGGATTGGATGACTAAGGGATTGTTTGTTTATTTCAGAATGATTAAGCGTTGAATGATTCAGAGGCTCTGTATGAATTAGCTCTGAATGTGACATGTTGTTTGATAATGGCACTGAATCATTCAGAATGTACTTCTGTGCTGAATCATTCAGCACTGTTTTGTTGAATCAGTCAGCACTGAATCATTCAGAGGTACGAAAAAAACACGCTGAATGTTGAACGGTTCAACATTCAGCGCTGAATGGTTCCATTAAGAGGCAAACAAACAACCCCTAAGGTTTCTTAAACCCCACTAAACCTCTTTCTATGGCCACCTAAACCTCTTTCTATGGCCACCATAGCCAAAACCTAATGTTGAGGCTTGAAATGAAGTTTGGGATGAAAAGATTACAAACCCTACCTTGGTATTTTCAGATTAAGCTTGAAATGTGTTAAAGTTTTCACCTTTTTATTAGCTTCAACTTAAAGAAGAGATGAAAAGAAGAGAGGTAGAAGACAAAGGATAATGTGGAAAAAAAATAAGGGTAGAATACAAAGAACAGTGTGGAAAAAGAAGGCTTCAGGCATGAAATCATCCAAATAAATGGAATTAAGCCTTTTAAAAAGTAAATGAGTAATTTACTTTCTTGGTCCTCCATTTTGGCAACAATTCAAACATCCTTTTTAAGTCCATTTGACTTGATCCAAGCCCAATTCCACTCCAAAAGGGTCAAGTCCTCCCACGAGGGTAAAGAACCTATCTTAAACACTCTCGGTTTAACTCAAAATACTAACCTAAAATTTGAGACGTTACAATTAATATCAACTTGCATGTATGATTCCATGATTATGGTCATCATTTATCAAACTCATCTCGTTGATTAGAAGGAAGATGAGAGCATATATAATAAATTAATTTATCCTCTGAGGTTTGAGCATTGAGCACTGCGTATGCAGGAATATGAATATTCATTATTAAATAATTGAGAGTATTTAAACAAACACTACCTTATACTCACTTTAAAATTATTTAAAAATAACATTATACAATCAAAAGTTTAAAAAAGCATATATATTTTTAAAACTGAAAATATTGTGAATTGGTTTTGATCCCATGCCTAAACTAACCAACACATGGATTATTTTTGAGTTAATTGCATCATATGTTCCCAAACTATAATCTTTATTTTAATTTAGTCCTTAAACTTTTGAATGTTTCAATTTCATTTCCAAACTTTGTCTCTCATTTTAAATTAATCGTTAAATTTTTAAGTATTCTAATTTCATCCCTAAACTATGACCATCTTTCTAAATTGGTCCCTAAACTTTTGGATATTCCAATTTCATCCCCAAAATCATCCATGTAGTTATTTTCAACCATAATTTAACCTAAATTTTATTATTTTCAAAATATAATAATATAACTTGGCCTAACAATTTTATTAACAGGGATGTGATTAATATATATATATAGTTTGGGATGGAATTGGAATGTTCAAAAGGTTTGGGGACTAATTTAGAATGAAGATCATAGTTTGGGGATGAAATTGAAATATTCAAAAGTTTGAGGACTAATTTATTTATTTTTTAGATGTGCCAAAAAATTATATATTTTGCACATTCACTCATCACATTATTAATAGTGTTAACTTAAATGCTTAATTTAAATTAAAAGATAAATAGTAGGGCTATTTGATTTATTATACATGGGTTTGTGTTTGTCTACATGAATATTTTTTTTATCAGCAGATATAGATTATTAATTGCCATTATTGAAGGAACCGTTATCATTGCTTTGTATATTGATATAGTGATTGGCTATTTTATTTACTTTGATATTTAATTATTCTTTAAACGATATTTAGTTTATTTAACTGGTCATCAAGTACATCTAGTTGATTGGTTAAACTGTTTATTTTTGTTCTTTTATATTTAAGTAATATGCTCGGCACGAATCAACTTACTTTAGTGGTTAAAGAAATCATTGTTGTTTCTGGAGGTCACGGGTTTGAGCACAAGCGATTGCAGCGTGGTGATTGACCGTTCATTGTTAAATTGTTGAGAGTATTTATAACAAATATTACCATTATAATGACCTTAACTTAATAAAAAAAGTCATATGGTATAAATTCACTAGAAAAAATATACATTCTCTACTCAAACCCGACCTGACCCGAAAAATATATAACCCTCCACACGACTTCGATCCGAACCGAATTTTTAGAGTATAAATCTGATCCGACTCGACTCGATATAAAATAAGACCTTAATTTCAAAAATAAAGAGAGGGTATTATAGCAATTATCCATAAATATATTTGAATAAATTATACCATTACCCATATCGGGTCGGAATTTTTTCTTCCTTCACCCGAACTCGAATCCAATCTGATTGCTTTATAAAATCCGAGCCAACCTAATTCGAAGCAAAAATTTATTCTAAAAAAGTTAACCCTATCAAATATGATCGAATTAAAATCTATCGATTTCAGATTAAATTATCATCTATAGCGTCGAACGCCAGGCCAAAGGCCTGAAGACTTGCTTTTCATCTAGAAAAGAGGGAAAAGCTAAGGGTCTCAAAACGAAAACGTAAGTATATAGAACTTTTCGACTCGAAGGATAGGCATGTACTTAAGTGTCGTTAATTTTTTGATAAAGTTTTTGATTTTTTTTGGTTATGTTTACATTTCATAATATTGTGCAATATAAGTATCGTGTCGTTAAAATTCGGATGGTATGATGACACAAACGAATCCTTTTGTCATTGTGACGATATGACAAAATGACAACGTTTTTGTATGGTTATTGGTTCCGAAAACAATGTCATTTTGATAAAACCCTTTAATTTGTGTATCGATTTTGTCATTAGACTTTGAAACACGTTCATTTTAGGCATTAAACTTTTAGGTCGTCATTGACATCCCACCTCCGCTTGTCATCAATCATTATTCATGACAAAACCGGTATCAATATGCTAGCATTTTTCTCTTTATTCTCATGGAATTGGTTTTCTAAGAAATTCGCTCAAAATCAATGAAACTCCACCTAAAAATCCGATGTTCTAACACTCTAAGGGTATTAAAAACTTAACACGTTTAGTGCCTAAATTATCGGTTTTATTCCCATTTAGTACCTGAACTTTTAATTTTTTTCAAAACTTAACATTAAACTTTGAATGGGGTACTAAAATGAAACGAAAACTAAAGCTTTTAATGGTGGATACTAAAATGAAACAAAACTACACTTTAGGTATGATTTTAAAAAATTGAAAGTTTAAATATTAAAACGGATCAAAACTGATAACTTAGGTACTAAACACGAAACTTACCCAAAATTAT